CAGAACTTTTAAACAATACTGTACATACAAGTCCATGCAATGGCAGAGATGTATATGAACAACATTCAACATCCCAAACTAGCAAACTTTGAATGGGACAGAAATGTACAGGACACATGTTTTCTAAAAATTGTAAACTGCTTTACCTGGTGTAGTTGATGTTTGACCTTCCACAGTAGGATCTAAAGGCAAATTAAAGAAGGGAAAAAAAGGGGTTTGTCATTTCTCCTCAATGGTAACTACCAGCCTGCCTTAAGGATGGAAATACTTTCAGTCAAACCCATTATTACTTGTACATCCCTACATCAACTTCTGACATTAACCCTTTTACTCCTATGGGTGCATGACAAAGACAGAATTTCTCCCTACAATATCCATAAAATTTCAAGCATACAAGTGATGAGAATAAAGAGAAATATCAATTAGGGGATTATCAGTTGATTCAGTAACAAAATTCTTGGAACTAAAATTGTAAGAATTGTACAGCAGTGAGACAGTAAGGAGAATTACTAACGAGATCTTGGCAGTGAAAGGGTAACAGTAACTGTTCACTTACTAGTACATGAATGCCCCTTACAAAGCACTTGTGCAGCTTCTGTCGAACATGCTCTTTGTTCATCACCAACACATGGTAATCCCCCACTCGCTGGGGCAGGTTTGTTACATTTTCGTCCTTGAAGACCATTCGAACATTCGCTCCAGTCAGACCATCCACCATTGACGACTAAAAGATACAAAAGGAGACTTCTATTAGCACAGAGTTCTTTGCCATGATATGGATAGAGAGGAAGATAACTAAAAGTTTTGTGCATCAGTAGATCTGAAAACACATCATTGAGATTTCAAATTGTGACCAAGATAGCGCTAGAAGTTGTCTAAGGCATGCAATCACTGGTGGGCAAGGCAAACTTATCTTGCTCATTTAGGAAGCCAATAGGAACACAGGATTTATTTCACCTTGCCTCAGCCTGCAAATCCACTAGGCCAGGCATGAAAAAGATAATTAATTGGATAATTATGTGAAATGAGATACATGTAACATACCACTGTTTCCATTAGGACACTTTGGGTCAGAGCTGCTTTCACAGACATATATTTTCATCTTCATTCCTGAATTACAGTGTCCTCCTTGTGTGTTTGTCAATGAACTTTGTGAGCCTGATGCAGTACCTGACAATTGAAAAAGATTTTTAATTTTTTTCTCCTTTTTATTGGGACTTTAAAGTCAATTTTTGAAAAGTTCTGAGACCATCAAACTATAAGTTATGTAGCAGCTTCTCTGCTTTTCTTTT